GTTTTACAAGGAAGCTTTGTCTATAGAACATAGAATTTGCATGTCAGCAAGAAATAGCTTTGATAAAATGTGTATTTACTAAAAGCCTTGAAACCTAACCTTGAGAAACTAACCGTGCCAGCTACACTCTAAATGGATGGCTGCCAAAGCACCCCTCCCATCGAGTGAACACCTCGTGCTAACAAGATGGCGCCTACATCTTGTGTCCCCTCCCGTGTCAAGGATGACATCACCTCTTGATAGGAGGGTACCTAACTAACCACTTAACACCTGGACCAATCAATAGTGTCTATTTGCTGTTATCTTGATTTTCTTCAATGATGTAATAATGCCTTTAAAAGGGTCTGCGCACCCATTTTCTGTCAGAAGCCATTAAACTTCTCTGAAGTTCTTTCATTACCCTGAACCTTGTGTCTCAGTGTGAATTTACTTCTGCGTGCACGCAACTTTATTATCTTTAATTTGGACAGGAACAGATAGTCATTCAAACTAATTGGTTTGCAGTAAATTATCTAGAACAATTGTATGCTGTTCCAGTTTGACTGCTAGGAGAGTAAACCTATTCGTATGGTTCCTATTCAACTGTCTACAGCATTCATATGCTTGGGAGAATTTATTTGTTTCTCCGGTTCGGTGATTGTGGTGTCTGCCAGAGTGCTTGGAGTCCTCAGGAAGCGCTAGGAGCATCCTTCAGCGGAGGTACCCAGTCGGGGGTGCCAGGTGATCCGTTACATTGGTGGCAAGCGGTGGGATGGCGTCCTAGTGCGAGGTAAAGCAGCTCGGAGACACAGTTCGTGGATTTACAAATTGGGGAACGTAGTACCGGTACAGCGACCCTATCTACAAAAGAACTGTAACTTTAACCCAGAGCAAGCATGGCGTATGACTACACTCAGGAGGTTGACAGAGAGGTTAATGAGGTGCTGTCTACCTTTGGACAACCCAGAAGAGCCGTGCAGCTGCGCCAGGAAACTAGTAGGAGAATACCTGCAATCTCCAGTAGATTTGTAAAAAGGAGTCCCAGGGAGCCAAAGGTATAGATCCTTCCTCCCCAGCGGCAGTATGTACCCCAGGGGAGCAGAAGGTGTTGTCCTTCCTCCCCAGCGGCGAATGTGAGTCCCAGGGGCTGAGGTGTCGTCCTTCCTCCCCAGCGGCAGTGTGTATCCCAGGGAGCTGAAGGTGTCGTCCTTCCTCCCCAGCGGCGGTGTGTATCCCAGGGAGCTGAAGGTGCAGTCCTTCCTCCCCAGCGGCAGTGTGTATCCCAGGGAGCCAAAGGTGTCGTCCTTCCTCCCCAGCGGCAGTGTGTACCCCAGGGAGCTGAAGGTGCCGTCCTTCCTCCCAAGCGGCAGTGTGTACCCCAGGGAGCTGAAGGTGCGGGTCAGCGCCCTCCCCAGCGGCAGTGTGTATTACAGGGAGCTGAAGGTGTCGTCCTTCCTCCCCAGTGGCGGTGTGTGTCCCAGGGGGCTGAAGGTGTCGTCCTTCCTCCCCAGCGGCAGTGTGTGTCCCAGGGAGCTGAAGGTGTCGTCCTTCCTCCCCAGCGGCAGTGTGTGTCCCAGGGAGCTGAAGGTGCCGTCCTTCCTTTCCAGCGGCAGTGTGTATCCCAGGGAGCTGAAGGTGTCGTCCTTCCTCCCCAACGGCAGTGTGTGTCTCAGGGAGCTGAAAGTGCCGTCCTTCCTTCCCCAGCGGCAGTGTGTACCCCAGGGAGCTGAAGGTGCAGTCCTTCCTCCCCAGCGGCAGTGTGTACCCCAGGGAGCTGAAGGTGCCGTCCTTCCTCCCTAGCGGCAGAGTGTCCTGCAGGGAGCAGAGACCGTCAGTCTCGCACCCCAACCACAGGACAAAATAATGAAAGGGGAGACAGCTGGTCCCCCTCTCCACCAGCAGAGAGAGTGTCAGGGAGAGGAGCCTGATACCCCCTCTCCCCAGCGGCAGTTTACAGTTCAGAGAGAGGAGCTTGTTACACCCTCTCTCCAGCGGCAACCTAACCCAGCAAGGGGAGATGTTACACCCCCCAACAGTGCAGATGGGACTGTAGTCTCTGCACTTACAGCACAAGGGGTAGGGACAGTCGGTCCTGTTCCCCAGCCACAGAGCGGTGTATCCAGAGGGGAGACAGTCGGTCTCTCCCTCCCACAACCAGGCTCCCACCAGGCTACTTCCATGGTAGCACTGGCATCAGGGCAGAGTACCGCTGGTCTCTGCCCACTCAGCAACCCACCAAGGCAGCCTAACAGTTGCCCACACAGTCGTGGTGAGGCACCTGGACATGGACAAAGTTCTCCTCTACACAGGTGTAGTAACCAGTTATTGTGGGTGGGCTGTACTGCTGTTTCTGTTTTGTGGGTGGGTTGCTGGACTAACCAGGGCACTGACCGGCAGGAGGTCAGATACCCTGTTAGTCTAGTTGGTAAAGGAGAGAAGTGTGGCGAAACCAACCTCGCCACTGTGAACTGGAGAAGCCTGGTTGCTCGCCTGCTCCCTTTGGACTATGGCCCTGCAGGTTAAACCGTTTATTTCCCCTGCAGAAAGGCTTATTTGTGTGATCTGAGTGCCATTCATCTAATAATGTGCACTCAGATCCCAACTATCTGGGGATATGTGAAATGTCTGTGTGTTATGTGTAAATGTGACTTTATGTATTTTAAAGTGTTTTGTGTCTTTTTGCAACCATGTGCTTAATGGGGTCTGTGTCTATCCTGGGAGATAATTGAATTACTTATCTCCAGGATAGAAGACTCTGAAACTGGTTTGGGCCAGAAAGCCATGCTTCATTTAGTCACAAAGGACTTTTTACTAACTTTTGAACCCCTTGTCTGATTTGTGCCATTTTGAATATGTTGTTCCCCTGAATGGATTGATTGTGAATATGTAATTTTATGTGAATGTGATGTATGGTTTTGGAGTTATGAAAGTTGGGTAGAAAGTATGTTTTAACTGTATGTATAATTGAGTTTCCTTTCAGGATAAGGGGAGGGAATATGTGGGATGTAACTGTGATGTGATTGGTTGTTTTATACCTCCCTGTGGGCAGTCCTGTATTTGAAAGACTGTAATAAAAACCAGGCTGGGTGTGCCAGCACCTGAGTTCCTGTTTAACCCTCAAAGTGAAGTGTCGTCTCATTATTGGGGGAAGGATTCATTGTATGCTGTTCCAGTTTGACTGCTAGGAGAGTAAACCTATTCATATGGTTCCTATTCAACTGTCTACAGCATTCATATGCTTGAGAGAAGGTATACGCTTCTCTGGTTCGGTGATTGTGGTGTCTGCTGCAGTGCTTGGAGTCCTCAGGAAGCGCTAGGAGCATCCTTCAACGGAGGTACCCAGTCGGGGTGCCAGGCGATCCGTTACATCGGAGTTTTAAAAAGTGAAGTTTTTTGGGTGCTAAATAGTACATTAGTGAGGAAATACATTAGTGGGGTGCACTTCATATCTGAGAGTCAAATAGAATTGGCAAATACTGCTGTCACATTGCAGTTTTAAAACTTAAAATTTTTTGCGTCCTAAACTGCTAAATAGTATTTTAGTGGCGTGCACTTAATATCTGAGAGTCAAATAGAAGCGTCTAATAGTGTGCTTACTGCACAGTGGTAAACATTCTTATTTTCTGGATGCTAATCTGCTAAATAGTAAATTTGCGGCCTGCAGTGCACTTCATATCTGAGAGTAAAATAGAAGCGTCAAATAGTGCGCTTACTGCGCAGTTGTAAACATTCTAATTGTTTTGATGCTAATCTGCTGCTTACATTGGAGTTTTAAAAAGTCAAAAAAAAAATTGGGGTGCTAAATAGTATATTTGGGGTGTTCACTTCATATCTGAGAGTCAAATCGAAGCGAAACTTTGATTCGAATTTACTACATCGGTCACTTGTAATATTGTTTCACACCTACAACACTTGTTACACAGATCTAAGTGATAGAAAACAGATTGATATTTTCTACACTAGAAACTACCAGATAAGCTGCTATATTTAAACCAGTAATCAATAGCTAAGAGGTACTTCAACAATATGGTAATTCTGGGGCAATACCCTCAAAAGTCAAACTGAGAGGATAGTTTATAGGGAAAACTGTTGCCTGGAGGAATTTCCAGATGTCCTTTGCAGACTTTACATGCTGGAAAAACACAGGTGCCAACTGCTGTGGCTTTCTGCAGTGTGCATACCAGCAAGGAGGGCAGGGTTGAGGAGTGGGTGGAAGATTACATGGAGGATGATGAGATCCTAGACCCCACCTCAAGGTCATGCGAGTGACGTGTGCAGTTTGGAGGAAGAGGCGCTGGTCGCACAGAGGTACCAGCACAGCATAAGAGGGAGCAGGGTGCAAAAGCGGAGTGGCCATCCCCTAACACTCGTCGGCATGTATTTGCTCGAGTATTACCAGTTATCCAAGTAATATATGTAGCGATCAAAGCATCCATAATAGAGTTGAGCGAACACGAACTGCAAAGTTTGGGTTCGTACCAGATTTAACAATCCATTCGTAGTTTCACAGTGAGGTGGGCAGTCCGGTGACCAGGACCCAGACACTGTCTGGGCAGCGGTCAGACTACTGGGACCCAGTATACCTGATGTTGAAGTTAGGAGTCACAGTGTGGAATGGATTAGCAGGGTCTGGAGGGTAACCGCAAGCCCCCTGGTGTTGAGCACCAGCATTTGTGCGGCCACATACCTGGACCCTGATGCAGCTTCAGTAAAAAGAGTACTTGATACCAGAAGCCATCACCAGACTGATCCGCAAGTTGAAACAGTATGTGACATTTACTGTAGCGGCTGTGCGCGCTTTTGGCGTTGTCACCCTGCTGTTGCTCGCCTGTCTGCGCTGCAGCATAACTTCGCCTCTTAAGACTGTGTGAGCAGCAGCAGGCGATAGTGGAGTTTAAGCTGCAGCACGCACGGGTGAGTGGCTCTGCACCAGACTTCCCTTCAATTGATCAGAGTTAAAGGATTTCAAGTGGACTCATTACAATTACAGGGCCTCTAAAGAGTCTTATATTGTTATTTGTCATCACTACCTTCCCGCGTCGGGAGTGGGTCATTTGCGCGCCTGCTGCCTTCCTTGCATGTGTTAGCCATTTTTCAAGGTCCCTGTATGGAATGGAACACTGATTCCCCGTTACCCATGGTCAACAAGGTAGGAGCAGAAACTGGCATCGAAAGTTGATATGGATGACATCTGCATGCAAAGTCGCCGCCACGGGGATGTGCAATTTGCCAGAGGTTCTCTAGAGTCAACAAAGTTCCTGCGCAACAGCTACTCTGCGGAACAGAATTGTCTTTTTTTTATATGTCCCAATATTTTTGGGGCTACCCAAATTAAAAAAAAATATATATATGTATATATAAAAACAGTGTTGGCTACCTAATCCTCCTCCTCCATCGCCACGGTCACCGCCTCCTCAAACTATGGGTCACTTAGTATAAACTAGATACACATTAGCAGAGGCTTGTGAAGGCCTTTTCTCCATGCATCAGGAGTTGAGCATTTCTCCATGCATCAGGACTGCAAGAAATGCACAGCAGGCCGCAAATGTTTCTTATTTTGCATGTCCCAATATTTTGTGGGCTACCACAATAAAAAAAGAAAAAAACATAAATAACAGTGCTGACTACCTCATCCTCCTCGTACACTGCTGCTTCCACCTACACGGCCATGGTCACTGCCTCCTCAACCTATGGGTCACTTAGTATAAACTAGGTACACATTAGCAGAGGCTTGTGAAGGCCTTTTCTCCATGCATCAGGACTGCAAGAAATGCACCGCAGGCAGCAAATGTTTCTTTTTTTTGTATGTCCCAATATTTTGTGGGCTACCACAATTAAAAAAATATATATATATATATATAAAGGGCAAAATCTTCCAGGTGCCATAGTCGCAGGGCAGGAGGCTGGCAATTAGTCCTCTCCAGGCACAAGTGGTGAAGGGCACTTGGTCACACAAGCCTTATGTTTATTTGGAAGGATATAAAAGGGAATACACTTGTCTGCCCTCTGGGTTACAGTTACTACTAAATTGCACTCCTAAAATGCCATATTTCTTCTAATTTAATTCATTTATTGCTAGAATCTAAAGGACTGTGATGTATTTTCCCAAAGCAAGATCTATTTTATTTTGTGTTACTATTGAAGTCTAATGGAAATTGTTACTCAATCCTAATCAGGTTCCACTTTATTTTATTCTTGCTATTTAAGTCTAATATATTAATCTAAATCAGGATCTACTTTATTTTTCACTACTGAATTATCTCTGTGAAGTAATCCCAAGTGGGATCTATCTTTACTTATGCATTATTTTCCCACTCATAGTGCTGCAGAAGATTTTTAAAGTGGAAATACCAAAATGCATTAAACTATATTTTCTTAACCCTTAGTGACCAAACCTTTCAATTTAAGGACTGTTTTTACATTTATGCTATGTTTGTGTTTAGCTGTAATTTTCCTCTTACTCATTTACTGTACCCACGTCATTAAAGGGTCTTTCTAACGATACCATTATTTTAATCATATCATATAATTTACTACAAAAAAAGATGATGAAAAAATGTAAAAAACTCAACCGCCAAAAAATACCTGTGCTAAATAGTTTCTTAATTTTATCCTGAGTTTAGAATTACACAATGTTAACATGTTCTTAGCTTTTATTGCAAGTTATAGGGCTATAAGTACAAGTCAGACATTGCTGTTTCAAAATACATATTTTTTAAATGTATCAATAGTGACATTGTAACACTGTTATCTGTCATAAATCTGTCATAAATCTCTGAATCACACCTCACATGTACATATTTTTTAAATATTTGACTAAGTGGCTACTAAAAAAGACTGGACATACCCCATATTGAATAACTTGGGTTGTCTTCTTTTGCAAATGGGGGTAATTCTCATTCCTGGGCTACCATATGATCTCAAAGGCAACATAACCAATCTGGTAAATTTCAATGTGAAAAAATGGATATTGTATATTATAAGTTATTATATATATCATATTTGTGTGTAATTTTACTCTAAGTGAATTTTTATATTAATATATGTATATAATAATAATTTTTTTTACTTAGTATGATGATATATATATACACATACATATATATATATATATATATATATATATACACACATACATACATATACATATATATATATATATACACATACATACATATATATACACATACATACATACATATATATATATATACACATATATATATATATATATATATATATATATATATATATATATATATATACAGGAAATGTGTGGATCCATGCACTCAAGCTTACAAATTATATGCATTAAAATATTAATAATACTTGCCGGGTGCCAGTCGCCATGGGGCAGTGAATAGAAATGACAAAAGAGTCCTGGGCTGCACTCACAGTCTTTAGAATGAAAATTTTGTTTATTCCATAAAGAGATCGACGTTTCGGTCCACGCATGGACCTTCCTCAGGATCAAATAGCATAGACATACTTCACACATACAATCAATATATAGCAAAAATAATCATAGAAAATTGACTTACCCCAGGTGTACGAACTAAAACACTCTGCATTCCCCTTGCACCATGCGCGGAGTAATCGCGCCCTCACGTTAACCCACGAGGTATGCGCGATGACGTCACTATGCGGCGTCTCCACGGAAACGCTACAAGCATCGCCGTGGGTACCGCACTAAAACAAAACTAAATAAGATCAAGGAGAACCGATAATTTACTCCAGGAAAGGCTATACAAACACAAAATCGTCTTATTTGTCCAATAACGTATAATGATGCTTCAGTTAAGTTATCAAATATTATTAGAAACAATTAATCACACAATTACCTGTAAGTCATCGTTTGTAATATACAAACTTACTTGTCCGTGTGGTTTATCCTATATAGGTAAAACCGAGACACCTCTTTGTGAGCGCATCCGGGGACATCGATCAACATTCGAACAGCCTACAGAGATGGGAATAGTGACAAACCAGTTGCCAAGCATTTTTTGGATAAAACAAAAGAGTCCAGCACCCATTGACATCTCTTAAATTTATAGCCATTGACCACATTCCGGAACCATTACGTGGAGGCAATCGTGGCAAGATGCTCCTCAACAGAGCAACTTACTGGATATTTCTACTTGAAACAGTCGCACCAAAAGGCCTTAATGAAATGATTACATATTCTTTTCTTTAATAAGAGTCCTGCTTGTATATATTGTTTTTAATTTATAGTAGCGGAGTATAATATAACATAACTGAACCTACAAGACCCTTTAGCCCTGTACCCATCAGACACCACACCTTAAGCCAACAAGAACTTTTCATAAAATTAGAAAAAGCATTAACATCTGAAATTAAACTAAAATGGGAAATAGCCACCATGAAAAAATACATAGAAGAGCAAATCACTCCCCGAGGCTTAAGATTGCTCAAACTCCCTGCCTCAGATCAAGATGACTTAGAATTCATGGACGAGTGGTACAGTAAACTTGAACTATGCACATTCGGACTCATGGAAACTCTAGTCACTAAAAAAAAGTAAAAAATTGTCACTACTAGACATAGAAATTAATGACTTAAAAGAGAAACTAATGCCATATATGGATACACGTGTATACAGACAAAACTCTATCCTTATTCAAAGCAAAATAGAAAAAATAGAAATGGACACCAAACACCTCAAAATCAAGAAATATATTAAAGACAAACACGACTACGCAAACAAACAAGTGAGGACATATCACTTAAACAAAAAATACATTTCTGACAACCCTCCTCACATTGAATACTCCTCTGAACCATACAAATATGACAGATCTCATCACCAACAAATTGCACCCAAACCCTCATACCGACCACCACAACACCACTACCAAGGACACAGACCCCCTTACCGGTCTCCCCTCAAACCACACACTTATAGAACTAACCACTACCACCACCAACCTACCTCCAAGCCATCCTACTCTCACCCTCCCCAACACTTACCAGCACCCCAAAGATATCGCAAAACTTCATATAAACCACCACGATCACCCCACTATTACAATGTACCTGAACACTCACCGAAACCCCAAAGACCCCAATACACAAATAGTCACCAACAATATTCCAATTTCACCCAATCACCTACTATTCCCAATCACCCTAACCGTTTCCAATTACTGTCACTTGACTCAGAAATAGAAAACAAAGATCATTTTTTAGAGATTCGCACCCACCCAAATTTAACAGTCAATACACCTTACCCTCCACAAACAAAAAAAAGAATTTTAAGCCCAGAGGTAAACGCAGCAGCGGAAGAGCACAAAAGAGAAAGGCTAGACAGACCGTAAACCCTTAAAAACACTTCCTACAACAGTATTTTTAATCTATCCAACAAAATCTTATCCGCCACCCAAATATCCGTCCTTAATAAAGGTATGAAATTTGCACCGACTAACCCTTTTAAATCTTTCAAAGCCTTTTTAGACATCAACAAATTTGTTCGCAAAGCTACCCTAAAGAGATTTTTTAACGACAAATTACCCACCACAACCAATTCTCCACCCCCCACGCCTAGTATCAACCCCAATAACATCAACACTCATTTGAAAGAAAAATCTAAATTTTACCCTTCCTACTGCAAATCTGCACCCCTCATCATGTTCGAAAAACTTGTGTTAAAAGACTTTGAAAAAATTAAATATAACAAATATTACTCACACAACCTCACCCATGCCGAGCGCAACACACTGAAACAACTACAAGAAGACAAAGATATTGTCATAAAGCCGACAGATAAAGGAGGTGGGATCGTTATCCTATCTAGCAAGATGTACATAGATGAGGCACATAGACAACTACATGATACAGAAACATATAACAAACTACCCTCTGACCCCACCCCTACCATCCAAATCACCCTATCCACTTTTTTACAAAAAGGCTTGGATTCTGGCATCCTAACCAAAAATGAATACAACTATCTTAACATCAAATACCCTAAACTCCCTGTCATATACTTTTTACCAAAGATACATAAAAATATTAATAACCCCCCTGGCAGACCCATCGTGTCAGGGATAAATTCCCTACTCTGCAATCTGTCAGAATACATTGACATACTCCTCCAACCATCCGTTAAATTAATGCGCTCTTACCTAAAAGACTCTATGTCATTACTACGTTTTTTAGACAAATTCAAATGGCAAACTAATTACATTTTAGCTACTTGTGATGTCCAATCCCTATACACGATTATACCCCACCATATAGGATGCCAGGCAATCAGAGAAATTTTAACTAAAGAAAACAGAATGCCCAAATAGATTTTATTTTAGAAGGTATTA